CTCAGCCATTTCTATCAATAAACCTGCTATTCATTAATTTACCTGTTGTCTCCAGCTTGATCTGTGACAGGTCTAGACTCTGGAATAGCCTTCCTGTTTATATCAGAATGGACAACACTGTTCATGTGTTCAAATCAGAACTTAAGAGTTATTTATTATATTTATTTTTAATAACATTTAATAAATGTGCTTTTTATTGTTGTGATTATATTCCATGCCATAACTCATATTTTCCATTCATACAAATCTTTTTGATGTGTTCTGCAGGATCTTTCTCTTTCCATGACCAACTTTCTTATTCAAGATTAGTTTATTGTTAGTTGCAACATTACTAGTCTCTGCTTTAGTTTTGCATACAGATGACTGTCATATGTTGTGTTTTGTTTTGGTATCCCTTGGTTCTTAATTTGACCTAGTTTGCTTTATTCCCATTTTCGCGTCACTAGTTTGTTGCCATAGCTCCTGATTAGTTCACACCTGTTCTCTGTTCCTTTGATTACTCCCTGTGTATTTAAGCCCTTAGTTGAATTGTACTCCTTTGCCCAGTATTATCTTTGTGTTAGTAGTGAAACTGTTATGATATTCTGTGCCTTTGTTTTGTGTTTTAGATAGTCTTCTTTGTAAATAAAAGGTAAAAGCTGCAAAAGATTCTCCACCTCCCCTTTCTTGACCTGACGTGACAACAACAATGTTGTCAAAATGACAACATTCACACAAATCTGCGAAAACAACTTAAAAAATCGGTATTGTTCATGTCAGGCCAGTAATTGGTGATGCCACTTTGCAAATAAACACTATGTACCTGCGCACATACCTACAGACTGAGGATGTAATTAGGGCTGAACAATTAATTGCATTTGCGATAATATTGCAATTTGAAAAAATTGGATTTTTCAATCGCAGAGGCTGCGATTACACTCGGTCACGTGACACGCGTAAGTAAAGAGGTGTGCTCAACTTGAAGATCGATCAGTGTATGACATCAAAGTACGGCAAGAGAAAGCATAAGGAGACGTCCGCGCTCTCTTATAGCTCTCGCAGTACTTTGATGAGACACACCCATCGGTCTAAGCAGCGCTGCTTCAAGTCGAGTGCGGGCCATCAGCAGAAAAAGAAAAGAAATAAAACAGTAAACCGCCAGAGGACGTAACTTAGAATGGGAGATGGATCGGTTTGTGAAAGCGAAGAGAAAAGCCATAGATGAAGTCGCACAGACCCAGGCAGGTACTGGTCATTTAAAAGCTAAATGCAGAAAATATGACAAGGCATATCTTACTCTTGGCTTCACTCACTGTGTCTGTACCGGACGCTACAGTTGTGCGTCGCGCCGCAACAGCTCTACACTGGACGCGACAAAGTGACCATTGCAAATCATTTTAACTGTGTCAGTACGTCATAAATAGAACAAGGCATCAGTTTAATGTTGGGTTTTGTCGTGTTGCATCACGCCGCATCCAGTGTGCACAGCGTCACTGATTATAATGGGTTCTACTGTATTTTGCCGCTCGCATCCGATGTAAACTGTTCTTTTCTCTATGCTATTTTTCAATGTTTCAATGCAGGTTTTTTTCCCCTTTAGGTATTTTAAATTAAAAAGCATGAATGTTTCACAATGTTTAGTGAAATTATTTGGTAATCTGAGGTGGGATGGGGATTCGGGAAAGGGGGGGTCGACCAAACCTATAAACCTTTTTTATAGGTTTAAAGGGGGGCGCGAACAAAAAAGTTTGAGAACCACTGGTCTAAAGTTAACAGAAAGTGTTTAAAAATTGCAGTCCACATGTTTACATGTGTTTATTACAGCGACTTTGAATTACCTAAAGTAGTGTGGTAAAGCAACAGATTTGTTTTTATATTTCTGCAAATCTACTTTAGTTTGTGTGATTTGTTACTGACTTTCATATTAATGGTTACACCAGGCTTATTTGTCAGTGCTTTATGTTGTCATAATTATTACATGCTTACAAGGTTGATAGTTCAACAAATCAGTCAATATACTGTGATTGTAGTTGTTAAATAAAAATGTCATTCATGCATCACCTAATTTCATCGTAACATATAGCCCTGGCCTACAGAAAATAACATTAATGTTTAATCTATCTAATATTGTGTTGGTCATACCATAAAATGATTTATAGCTTGTCTTTATTGAATAATACAGAACATAACAAGCTTTAAAAGATAATTGCATATTAAATTGCATGTCATGTCCACTGAAAGGATTTATCTTGTAGATCATGAAGAATCCCTGCAGATACCTAGATTAACATAATCCCCAAGTGGACTGGGCACACAACTTCATGAACGACTGGAAGCCATACTGTCACTATCATACTTCTATAGTCTATCTTGACCTCATCCTTACCTGTAACGGCACAACTGGAAGAGATTCCAGATCTTTCTGCAGTACCACTACAGTACATATCTAGCTGTGATTGCAGGCAATTGAGCAATTATCTGCTTCTTTATGAAACACAAGGAACAATATTTAAAACAAGCTCATTTTCTGCTACAAAAATATGCGATCCTGTGTGTAATACCAAAAGTGAACTAAACTTGCCCTATTATTTCCAAGATATAACCACAAACATTCTGAGATGTGTCCAGACTTTTAGAATGAAGTGTTGAATGTTTTAATAACTTAACTATGCGGTTTAAGCAGGTCTGGATAATATTCACATGCTCCTTGGATTCATAAACAAGCTGAGTCTTTTGGCATCTCCAAAATGCTGAAAGGACACACACCAGACATGAGCTAAAATAGAAAAGCCGACAAAAAAGGAGCAAAAGGCATTTGACTTTCAAAAAATGCAATCAGTGCCTTAACACGGGCTCATTAGGCAAAAGTTATTATCCATAAGCTAAACACAGGACTAAAGCGGTTGTGCAGGATGTGGAGACAAGTTAAAAAAAGGGTTTATAGTGTTTTGAGTGTAAGATAATGATATACTGTATACATTTTGCATACATATTTCATTGTTCAAAAGGTCATGGTCAATATGTTATGGCAACATATTTTTTTCCCATTACTTTTACCTCAAATTTCAACTTTGATTTTTTTAAGTCAGTTTAATATAATTGGTTGAAATGACTTGTGCAGCCAATTTGATAATACTTAACATTTTAAGGAAGTATGTGGAAATGTGTTACAGTGTAGTCATGGTTGTATGGAATGGTTAAAAAGGCTTTTAAAGATCTGTCTAGTGAACACCATGCATCAGAGGGAAAGTCTACTGCAGACCTGTAGACCAATGTCCTGAATTGGTGTTAAGTTAAAGTTCTATTGGGAAAAAAAAAAGATTTTTAAAATTCATTAGGCTTGTTGATTAAAAACTCAGGACCATCTCTGTCAATCTGTCTGTTTGTGTATCTTTATCTATCTGTTTCATTAGCAGTGAGGATTTCAATGTTACCCCCTTCTTTCCATCTTACATCATTTCTGGGAAAAATTACACTGGAGCCATTCAAGTCTGTGGAGACAAAGCTTCCTTGAGGAAATCATCTTCACCATGCTTTGAAGGGCTCCTCCAACTGAAAAATATTGAAAAAACAAATAAAACTTGGACTTGGCTATGAGGTTTTTTTATAATGATAATGATGATGATACTGAGGCATTTCACCTAGTCCATAGAGATTTTGTGTTTTGGACACATCCTCTTTTTGCATGTGACCAACAGCCTTAATTGTTACAGTCAAATAAGTCATGATCTTAGTTAAAGGGATAAATAATGAATATTAAATGTCCTGTATGCATATACAAGCAAGCAGGGTGTGTTGCTTTAATACAGCTTTCTTTGAAAGGTTTTAAAGGGGTCATATGATGTTGCTAAAAAATAAAATTATTTTGTGTATTTGGTGTAATGAAATGTGTTTATGCGGTTTAAGGTTCAAAAAACATTATTTTCCACATACTGTACATTATTGTTTCTCCTCTATGCCCCGCCTTTCTGAAACACGTGGATTTTTACAAAGGTCATCGTTCTGAAAAACGAGGTGTGCTCTGATTGGCCAGGTATCCAGTGCATTGTGATTGGCCGAATTCCTCAAGCGTGTGACGGAAATGTTAAGCCCCTTGCCATATTGTGATGCCGTGTCCCAGTGCAATGAGGCAAAACCAATCAAAACCATTATAAATGAGGCATTTGTTGCATCCAGTGGGGACATAATTACTGATTATAATGACTTATACTGTCTTTTTACGCGTTGCGTTGCATCGTGCCGCGTAAACATAAAGCCATGTCTGCATTTGTGATCGGAGAAACGACAAACAACAAGCGTTACTCTACACTGCCCAAAACTCGCGTTTGAATCATCAGTGGCAAATCCTTTAAATATGAAAACGTACTTAGAGACTGTGAGTCAGCATTATTTGTCAGCACCATAGACTGGTCAGCATGTGCACTTAAGGGGAAACAGGGGAACTGAATTCACCGGAACACCAGTATTGTAGTCTACTCTCCCAGGAAACAGTCCTCGTCCTCCGTAAAATGCGTTGCACACATCTGAATATTTGGTTTGAACTGTTCTGGAACAGTGTTGTAACTTTCTCAGAACAATGGGCTTTATTTCCCCAAGTCTCTTAGACAAACATTGGTCAAGTTTCCCTTTACTGAGCAGCCGTTGGAAAAAAAGACTCGTCATTTTAAAGGAATGAGAATGGCTGTAACTACTTGAGGAATGATGCTTTGTGTGTGAGTGGTTGCAAGGAAGAAACCCAGCGATGGAGTGAACATCATTATCTGAGTACTGATTTTGTTTTATTCCTCTGCTCACATAAAAAAAGTTAAGCACTCTTAAAGTCCATGCAAATGTCTGGCAAGACTGTGAAATTCCTCTTGGACGAGAGAGTGGGAAAGCGGGTGTCTCGCTCTCCCTGTCTCTCCTATTCTCTCTCGTCCTTCTCTTCCCTCCCCTCTCTCATGTCTTTCCTCCCTGCATGTCTCTTTCTATCTCTCTCTCTCTCTCTCTCTCTCTCTCACTCTCTTTCTTTCTCTGGCAGCACTCAGCTTTTTTGGCAGGAGTGACCAGAATAAAAACAGCAACACCAGACATAGAAGAGAAAAAAGTGCAATGATCCATCGAACCAAATGCTTTGCCCTTTCCTAATTACGTCGTGTCCAGTATTATTTTATTTTTTCCTCCCCATTAAATTTTTTTTAAGACATTTTTGAAGTGGTAATTAGCTCTTGGAGAATAAAACCAGCTGATTCGGGGACGGCCAGTGCATTTTGGGGCGAGATGGCTAACAGGAGGTTTGTTTTGCTCCTTCTCGGATTCATCCTCACAATACAGCTGAGTCCTTCACTGCAAGGAGGTAGGTGTGCACTTTGATGGCTCGTATAGAAGATCCTGATAAACATTACTGGTGTAGAAGGTACCCTGTAGGCTTTTTTTCTGCACATTTTGTAGCAACCAGAAGTGTGCATTGTGCAGAGAGTAAAGTTAGAAGACTTGTGCAACCGACGGGCGTTGCAGGTGGTCATGTTTACTACTGATTTTAGTTGTGCATTTTCATTGGAGGTTATAGGATAGTAATAATATGCGAGCAGCCATACATTCAGTGTAATGAATCTCATTACATTTACCTTTGCCTGGCATATGGAAGATTACAAAGCATTATTATACATACACTATGATGCATAACTCAAAAAAGAAAACAAAATCAATAGCAATTCAGAGACATCACTCAGATCCTGAGCATTACCACCATGCCTGTTTGCTGAGGAATCTGGGCCACATTAATGGGGAAACATTTGGAGTGGTGACATTCACATGATCCATATTTGAGTATGTTTTGCTTTTGCCTAATAGCATCCAGGTCATTTTCGAACCTAAAGATGGATGTTTTATTTCTGAGAAAACATTTCTGTGAGTAAATAAAAACATGATATAACCAGTGCTTTGGGTAGCTTTTGGGTAGTCTAGTAAGTCACAGGATTCCCATAATAAACCTTCAAGGTAATACAAATTCACTTAAGAGAGGCATATATCTGATTGTAAATGTTTATTTAGGTGGTTTACACCACCAAGCTAAACTACAATGTCCTGTCTTTTTCAATCAGATTCAAAGAATTCAAGCTTGCAAATACTGTAGTACAAACCATCAAATGCAGGCTGCAGAGATTTTACAACGAAATGTCATAAACGTTAATTCAGCTACAGATGTTAGCTGAAGTTCTCCGCCTTTTTGTGCCAGAGTGCTCAACTGGGAAAATGAATGTGGTGAGAGTTGTTTCTCTTGAAGGCTATTCCCCTCGATCGTAGAGCACTTTGCTTAGCTGATGGGGAGGGTGATGAGTTTGTTAATCGAAAACACAGCTTATACAAACTGCATTTCTGAAGACTACAGATGGACTCTTTCTGTCAGCTTGTGTAGACTTGACAAATAAAAAAACCTTCCCGGTGGACATCGCTGTCCAGTGAGCCGTGCAAGTGCCCCTTAGGTCGGTGTCTTTGGCTCAAGTCACCAGCAGCGTATGCTGTATGATGTTGCGCTGGATTTGAAAGTACAAACTGTGGTACAGAGCGACGCAATATAAGACAGGGAAGTCAAGAAATCTCCAACTTGTTTCTTTTTTTTTGGCCCCATCATTAAATTGTAGTTGTTTTGATGTTCTTGGATGTGCGTCTGTGTTAAGTCGTGATTGGAAAGGATGTGGGGTCTGTTCCCAGTTTCCAAACAAAGCCAGAGTATTTCACAATGATTTTTTTTTTTTTCACAAAAATACTTTCTTCGGCACTTGCTGATGTATGTGTTTCCAGGCTGTTCCTAAAAGAGAGCTCTCTCAGCTCGTCTCACTGATGCTGATGCTCCATGACAAATTGCTGGTCTGTTCGACTCAGGCCTGTCTGTAGGGCACCTGTGATATTTGCATGGCGAGAGTGAAAAGTGTCACAGTTGTGAATGGGGAAAATGTTTTTTAATTACGTTTCACCATACATTTATCAATCCGACTTAAGGGCCAACACTAAGCAAAAGGGTAATGCTGTTTGTAGGATAAAGCGTATACAAGCATTCACTCAGATGAACTGACACAAATGAGCCTAAAGTCAACTCCCATTACCTCGTAGAGAGTTTTTTCAGTGCTGTCCACAATGCCCACATTGCCTTCTGAGTGCATTGTTATCCAATGACCTCTGTACTGGATAGTCAGCAACATTTACATCTGAAATTCAAAGTTCAGTGCCTGTGAGTCTGTTTGGACAGCTCTCGCAGGTGGAATGTTTTCTCTACTGGAGTGAATGAGTTATGGGGCAGGTGGGAATTTGAGAGCTTTGGGAAGTTACTATGTCACCAGACATTTTGCTGTTACTGTGATGGTTTAAGTCAAGCCTAAATGTCTCTCTTCTTCCATTCTTGCTAAATGCTGACAGTTTTGACACATGGAACAGCCTCTGTTGGAGCTTAAGGAATGTCATTTTGGAGCCAAAAGGCTCACATCATTCATTACTTTGACCCCATAAAAGCTTTATTGAAGGGCACAAGAGCACCCACTGTGAGACTTCATGTTAAACCATATAGTGTTAAAAAGTATGCAATCACTGCTGTTGTGGAGTAATGATCTTGTGGGATCCCAGAGTCTGTTTGCTTTATTGGAACTGGCATTACGTCTAGTGTATCTAAACTGTTGATCGATTGTGTAAGCATACCTAAGCAGTTGGCAATCACATCATACACAATGGAAAACCTTTGGTGGAAGTACCAGTTATCATGTATCAGTTTCCCCCCTCACTCTCTTATACCCTCCTGTGGTAATTTATCACTCAGACGTCTGTCATACATGTAACCTTATGACAACCAATCATTTTGTGCTCAGTATCGGGTAACGGTGCCCTTCAAACACCATTG